AGCTCAGTTTTGACGCATGACATTTTGGAAGGGATGTTGATGTGATTAAGTGTTACAATTGGTGTCAGTGATTTGACTGACTCACAATCACCTTTCTCCCTTTTATTTCTCCTTCAGTGATGTTATAACAACTTATTAAAGGACTTATAGATCACATGCAGAAGAATGACAGCTGTCAGAAATTCCAATTCCCCAGCAGCTGCAAGGGTTGAGAATTCCAAGAAGTGACCCACTGTTGGATACTGTAAATCCTATAAAAAGTATAGAGACTGTAACTATTAAAAAACCATGGTAGGGATATTCACTCTTCTTGTCTCCCTACCAGAGATTTTATACCTTAGTGAGGAATGTGGAAAAAAAAGTCTGAAACTGGTAATAGAGATGGGCGTTTACATGAGACAGTGTTTGGGCAGTGCAGTCTGCGTTGATAAATACAGGGCTTTTAAATGCTTTTCAAGATTACACTTAGTAATAATAATTTATCAAAACTGGTAGTCCCTTTTTGAACAGTCTTAATTTAGTTTTCTTTAGAAGAAGTGTGGTCACATCTCTGAGCACATGATTTCTTTGTTCCTGAGCAGCATCTTGAAATGCTAATAAAGCCGTGGTATCATTTGCTTAATGCAGAGTATTTGAGCTATGCTTTCTTGATTCCATTATGACTGAGGCAGATGCAAAGAGCTTTCCTGTGCTGAACGTATGTACCAGTTACAGGGAGGTTATTTGTCGTTGCAATTGCAAACTGAATGAGCCAATGTCCTATCAGGTGTCTGTCACCAATTTCAGATTTTCTTTATGGAATCCTGCTGGCTGACTGATGATCCTTCTTCAGCTGTGATGAGCTAATCTTTCCTTGACATTGTAATCGCAATTCCTGAAAGGTCTGCAGAGCAGTTGCTTGCCTTTGGTTGCTGTTGTGTCTGACATTGACATATATATCCAGATCAGGAGGATCATTCTCATTCTTAGTTTCATTATAATTCTGGATGGAATTAAGGATGATGATTCCTAGAATATCCCTACAGGCTTTACTTTGTCATTTGCACCATTACCAATTTTAGTAAAGGATGTGGTTATTTGCCACATCTAGGTAGTAATAAACCAGTGATATATGAATCTCTTGTATGTCTGTGGTGTATTTGGGGGTTACTGAATAGATACTGACACCAGGCTTACAGCTTGTACTGTCAGATTGTCATCTTGTTCTGCACCTTTAAATTCTACCCACCTTTTTTCATTTTGTGGCTGGTTTACAGAGCAGCTCTAATGGCTTGTGTATTTATTAGAGAGGCTTTGAAAGAGCACCTACATGGTTTAAAGGCATGCATACAGCAGCACAAAATTCATTACTCTGCACTGCATGCTGACCATGATAATGCAGAAGAGATTATATATCTCTCTTACGGCATAAATTTTAGCACTGTCTAAACAAAAGTCTTCAGGTTTAGGTAGTTGGGGGGTTTTGTTGTTTTTTTTTTTTTATTTTTACTCTTAGAATCAAGTTTTGTGAAATCTTTGCTTGTGCAAGAGACTCTCACTGTTGACCTAATTGAAACCCTCTCTCTATCGTCTTAATGTCTCATCTCTTGCAGGAGTGGGAATAGACAGACTTCCATGAGTTACATGGACACCTATGTGTCTTTCCAGAAGTATCATTTGTGTTTGGCTCTTTCCTTCCCTCCAAGCCCTTCTCTAATCTCTACTGTCTTATGTCCTATGTATCTTCAGTCCTTTACATTCACTGTGACAGTTACTGCCCTGGCCTGGCCTGTCTGTGAGTATGGCAAGTCAGACAATTCAGATACGATGCTTCTGACACTGACACTGGCTGTCTGAACAAGGTCCTGTGCCCTCTTCTGAAAGAAAGGGTTTTTTTTTCTGAGGAAAAGTGATTTCCTTGGAAGATGGGGGATCTTGGTGAATTTTTTTCCAGTGTAGCTGGTCCAAATCAGACGTACCTTTCACTTTGCATTATGGCTTCTTAAAATATACAGCAGCTTTCATGCAATTCCTGAACAGTTTGAAATAAGTCCCAGATTCCTTTTGTTTTTCACTTGCTGCTTTAAGTAGTTTTAAATATTATTTTAGAATGTAACAGAAATCTGATTTAAAAATAGGGCTGGCAACAGATCCGGTGTGGGCTTAAACTTTTCAGCTTTTTAAGGGGTCATGAGATAACAGCACTGCCCTGATGAACTTCATTATGCCATATGAATGTAAAGTATCCATATAAAGGGAGATTTGCAAAGGTATGAAAAAAAGGCACCTATGTTTTCAGTGCACTGGGAATCTTAAATCTTAGTCTCATATTTTGAAGTTACTTCTGTGTGTTAAGTTTGTAGATTAAATGTCTTTGAAATGTGCCAATGTTTGTATTTAAAAGCTAATTTTGTCATCCAGTCTTGAAATACATGTGAATTATCTGATATTGCAGATCAAATCAGCCTCCTCAGAGTCATATTGCGCACACATTCAGAGCATTTGCAATGCCATATCTTAGTCTCTGTTATACTGTTATAGTTGGAGAGGGGAATACTAGATATTTAAGGTGTTGATAAATCAAGGCCTAAAATCTAATTGTTGGAAACAGCAAGTTTAGGAGTTGCTGGGTTTATCAGAACAAGTTACTATGATTGTTTTACATGTGAGCAAGACCATTCACAAAGTATTTGCAGTTCTTAGCATGTCCCCTTGTGCATAATGTCATCTGTCAGTAAAAGCAGAGCTGATTAGCTTTATAATTTACAGTTAACTAAATCTGTCAAGAAAATGGTCTTATTGTCCAGCTTGTCTTTTTGTAATGAAGCTGTGGGTGGGGGTTAGCAACAGTGTGTTCACCCTCCTAGAGGTCAGGGGGGATGGAAGGTACTAATGCATTCCAAGCTGAAAAGCTCACGCTTGACCTTGGTGATTACAGTTTTTCCTATCATGTAGCAGCAGTTGAGCCTGAATTGTCTTTTAAGAAGTCAAAAGGTCTAATCACCCTAATGAACAAACTCAATCATTAGTACTTTAAGGAAGGAAGTGTGTTAACACTGCAATAACACTGGTTCCGCCCACTGCAGTGTGTGTTCATAGGAATGGTACATAGCTTGGTGGTAAGAGGAGAAGCTGGTGTCATTGTGCTGGGTGTTCAGTGGAGTAGAGGAAGCTTTTCTTGGGCAGGGTGTAGTTCTTTCCACCAGGTTCATGCTCTTTTCTGACCATGGGAGAAATTTTGGGATTTTGTAAGTGAGGATTAAATAAAAGCTAAACCTTCCCATGGTGAACTTCTCTGATAATGGACTAATCTACACTTTTCTTCATGTATTCTTCCCTGCTCATTTCACACTCCAGATTGTCTATGTCAGACAAACATTTTTCATTTGTTATGTTGTAGTAGCTGAAACTGCTGGGAAAGCTTTTTCCATACTGGTCAAGTAGATGTTACATGCTGTTGTGTGTGGTACTGTTGCCCAGGTCCTGCTTGGGAAGTGTCTGTCACTACAGTTTCTGTAGACACAGATGCATTTGCAATCTCCTAAGTTTTCTCCCTCTAATTGTAGTGCTTTGTAGTATCCTGACTTTTCCTTCCTGGTACCTCAAGAGAGACTCTCATTTGCCAAGTTACCTCTTGCTCATGGAAGTTTTGACACTTCCATGTCATGCAGAAGTTCTGTCCCTTTCTGCTATTTGCTAAGATGAGTGAGGGATCAGCTGTTAGTCTTTTAAATACATTAAAACCTTTCAGACATACCTTGATTTTTGAGACAGAACCTTTGTCGTGGCAGTGATCAGTGTGTCGCAGAGACTGTCACGAGTGTCTTGTCTACCAAGCTCATACCAGCCAGATCTTTTTCCAAACCTTTTTTCTTTGGTCACTTTGAAACAGTGACTTATGATTCTTTACTGTGAGATGTAGGGGGAGAAAAAGAAAAAACATAAAGTTGTTACTCACTTACACTTTTTGCCTGGAAAGATCTGGAAAGATTGTTGGGATTTTGTTTTATTCTGCAAATAACTGCTCGAGTAAATCAGAGAGTTTGTTATTATCCTTCAAACTAATTATCCTGAAACTGTAGTTGCTGCATAAGAAACCTGCTTTCTTTTCCGAAAACCATGGTTATACATTGGCCCAAGGAAGGGGTGACAGAAAGAATGACTTCTTCCCCCTTTGGAAGAGCCCCATCCTGTGCTTAGATTGCTAATATAAAGAGCTTCCAGAAATTGAATGAAACCACCATTTTAAAGGAGGTGCTTTAAGGTTTTTTGCTGTCTAATGTTGATTTTGAACACTCAACAGATGAAGAGCCCAAATATATTTTAATATGAGTATGAAGAAACCTCTATATTAATTATACATCAGTAAAATTTTATCATTCTTTGTTACTTTCTTGATTTTAATTCAGTAAATATATTTGCTTGCTACATCGAGTATTTGTAGATTTAAGTGTGGGGGAAATTTGTGCCCTTATGGCAGATGCACACCAGACTTCAGCATTAACATAACTCATTAAAATAAGATAAAAGTAGAGCTGCAAAACAATTTCTGTCTTTTGCCAACAAGATTGTGAAAAAGGGAAATTTCCCTCATTCAATATATGAGAGTCTAATCTGAGCTGGGGAGAGAACAGAGCAGACATTCCTGACCTGTTTGTGCGGGTTACCTGGCTGGGTCTACTGAGGCAGAGAAGCACAGTATACAAAATTCAGAGGACTCTGTGTCATGTTTTGGGGACATGAAGTAAAATTACCTTTCTGGATGATGAAAGTTCCTTCACCGGCATCGCAAAATGTGCATAAAGCAAACGTGTTTTATCTTGAGATGCAATTTGCTGTTTTTCAACCTGTTTCTCAGTCGCATGGTTGAAACCTGGAAAATAAACTGCAATTTACTCTATGATTTGTAAAGTCTATTTATTCATCTATTTATTTTGGAAGGGAAGTAGATAAAAAGGGGACAGTGGATTCAGATGGATTCAGACAAAGCTTTTTCTGTTTCAATGCTCTGCACTCTACAGGGTGAACCCATCACTTTTTGTGAAGAAACGTTTGTGTCCCATCGTTCTGCTGTCATGAGGCAGTTCCTTCAGAATGCCATTCAGCTCCAGCTCTTTAAGCAGGTACCAGCTAATTGCTCTAATGTAGAAGCAGATTCTTTAACAATACAACTGGGTTTTTTGGGGGTTGTTCCTATACTCCTTGGTCTGTCAGCCACAGAATGAGGAAAACTCGCATAGTGCAGCACCTTAATTCCTGCTTGCTGCCTTTTCTCAGATTCAGGTGATGAAGCTTTCTATATTTTAAGAGGTGCGTGGGCTTTCCCCTAAAGGTCTCTGTGCTCAGTTTTGATCTGAGCATACCTAGACCAAATATATCCACTGTAAACTTTGTAGAGAAAGTGTATTACTGTTAAACATGACATTACTGCTTCAGGGAAGCTGAAAACATGCATGCATAGACAAAGACATGAATGCTGGTTTTTTAGTGAAGCAGCATACCTTTTTGCGGTGGTAAATGTTTTGCCAGTTTGGATTGCATTTTCATTCTATCTAGAGTCCCTTCCAGGTAAAAATGTTGATTTTATTCTATCAAATGCAGAATAAAGTCTTTCTGAAAAGGTAAAGGATGGGATGGTTGATTCATGTATACTCTCTTTTAACACTGGTGTAGTTCATTGATGGCCGTCTGGATCTTCTTAACTCTGGTGAGGGCTTCAGTGATGTTTTTGAAGAGGAGATAAATATGGGAGAATATGCAGGTAAGAAATTCAGGTTTTGAATGTAATTTCAGACTCTTTTCTTGACTTACTGTTTGTGGGCCATTGTGATGTAATGGGTCATAGTGGTTACCTAAATAGTGGATGCTGCAATGATTCCTGTAGTTCAAAGCATCTTGAATTTTTGTTCTTTCCTCCGTCGAGAACTCTGAGTAATGTATTGTAGTTTGAATGAAGTCTGGTCAGTCTTAGAAAACCTCAGCTTTCCCACTTGGCTAAATAAAACTAGAAGAGTTCTTGCAATGGATACTGAAAAACCTTGGCTTTACCCAGAACCACCTCACATTTCTTTTAGCAGTCTTAAAGTCAGTGTTCTCAAATGTCTGAAGGACAACCCAGCTAAAACAGAAATGCCTCTTAGCAAGTAAAAGAAAAATTGTAGATATCTCCTCAATTTGTTGTTGTTGTATTTCCCTTAGAAGAAAAGGCTGGTTGGTTGTTGCTGTACTGTTTATGCTCCTAGAACCACAAAGTGCTAACACTAATGTTTCTGGCTTGTTTTCTATTTGGTAGAGAGTTACAGTTTGTTTGATTTTGTGATTCTTTCTAGGTAGTGACAAATTGTACCACCAGTGGCTCTCTACAGTAAGGGTAAGAACACAATATTTTTCCAACAGACATTCTAATTCTTTCTGGATCACTGTACAGTTCCGGATAGCTGTTAACCTCAGTCCTTGTGCACAGGACTATGTTGTGTCATGTAGTGCTTGGCTGTGACCAGCTTGAGTTTAGCTGTGAGAAACTAATGTGCTCTTCAGATGAAGAACAGAAGAAATACACTTAAAAAGAAATCACCATAGGAATTCTTAAGATTTGAATCTTTCTCATAATATCTTGGAGGCAGCTGGAAGTATGTTATTGTCATTTTAGAAAACAGTGTAGTTTTTCTTTTAATAGAAAAGGAAACAAAAGGGAACATTGCCACACCGAAAAACTCTTTGTAAAATGGTGTGAAGTGCTGAACAGGGGCAGCCCTGTTTGGGAGGGGGTTTGTATCTCTTCAGTTTAGTGCTCCAGTTTTATAAATTTAGATACTTTTGGAGAATACGTTGTTATAGCTGATTTTAAAAGTCTCTTTTGATGCATAAAATGTGATGTATTGGAAAGTAAAATATTTCTTGTTTTGGGTATGAATCAGTAAGAAAGATTGATTTTTTTTTCTGACAGAATTGAGTTTTGCAGCATTCCGTTTGCCTGCTGTTCTGCTCAGGAATGGAATTGTGCTCCTTGCACAAATGCTTTGCTCAATGTTATCATGGTCATTTTGAATTAAATGTATTTTGTAACAGTAACTTTAAAAATCCTATCATATAGTCTAATAGTTAAATATATCTATATATAGATATATAGTTAATTATATCT